CTTTTGAGCGCGGGATTGAGCGGAGGTCAAAAATTTGAGCTCCGACCCCGCGCTCAATCAGCGCGCGGTTTCACAGCTGGCGGGCCTGCGCCAACCCCCACCCACCTCCACCCCCCAAACATTTTATTCTATTTTTTTCCACACACCCCATTCTGTTTTTTTTTTTTTTTTTTTTTTTTTTTTTKWCGGCATGGGGGTGTAGAAGGCCCCCGCACCCCGTGATCGGCCGTTCACGTGACCGGCACTGGATTCAACAACTCTCGAAAAGAGGGAGGTGCCGAGAAGCATTCTCTGCCAATGTACTTGTGAATTTTCTTCCCATCTCCAATTTCGACAGCCTGTGGGCCTCGCCACACCACTCTCGAATCTCGAAAATTCGAGAGTTGGGCACTGCCACCCAGCCTCGCTAAGAAAAAAGCCACGGCTCTCATCGAGAGCTGTCAGAAGGCCGGTTTCGAGGGCCTTCTGGAATCGATGTTTTCGCCCAGCCTGCAGCTTCGGGTTTTTCGTGATACCGGCCGTCGGCGCTCGACTTCGTGGTCCATTTAGAGAGCTGTGTGGCCGTTTTTCTGATGGCTGTGACAGACGGTAGTGTGCCAAAGGAGAATGGCGCAATCTCGAAAGCAACTCTTGAAAACGCACCTTCTTCGAGAGGCGGTTGGCTCACAGCCTCACAGTGGGACCACGGCCTCTGCGAGCAGGCACATACTACCGTCTTCCCCCCGAACACAGCCGTAGAGATTGCACTATGTGCAGTGTGGCTGCGTAGGGGTGAGTGTGGTTGGGTAAACCATGTCGCGGGATCTCCGTGCTGGGGTGGGGTGAAGTGCTCATCTTGGGGCTTCACTTTCACCCCAGCCCACTTAGCCTTATGGTTAGGTGTTTGCCTGCCAAGCCGTTGGTTGTGTGTTCGAGTCTTGTATTCGGATGACATGAACCCTGCTAACGAATGTATACAAGCCATCTTTGCGGTTCAGTGCAGCGAAAATGAGGAAGGCTTCTGCCCAGCAATGGTCACTTGTGCGCAACGACAAACCGTCCCAGGGGGATTTCTGCATTTGGACGGGCACCGGTGCTTCGTTCAGCGGGTCCATCCGCCGCTGCTTCCATATACCTCCCACCGTTCCCCCTACACTCCACCAGCCATTCACGGACCAGGGACACGACACGGGACAGCCCCAGACCTGCGGAAGGTACAGGACATGCATCCAATTCGAGAGTGGGCTCCGCCACACAGCACTATCGAATAGGGACGAGGAGAGCGTCCACGTTCGAGAGGAAAAATATATACTGTGCTATGCGGCGAAGGGCCCTTTTCTCTCGAAAACTGCCTTCTCGAAAAGTTCTGACAGCCCTCTATTTTTTTCAAGATTCGAGAGTGGTGTGGCGAGGCCCTGTGTGGCGAACAAGAGAAACTATGGAATATCACGTTTTCGACAGTGCTGTGGCGAGGCCCTATGGCTCGGGAGTGCGACATGCAGCCTCACCAGTGTCGCCATACCCGCTCGGGAATTTGTTTTCTATTTTTTAATTATTTATTATTAATATTATTATTATTATTATTTTTTTTTTAAGGAAAAACACAGTTTCTTATGCAATCCGCTGGGGAATTCAACTTGCAGCCTAGCCGTACTTTTGTTCTTTGGGTCATGACTGCTCTCACAATTTGTCGTTCTCTCTCCCGAGTACCTTTTCAAGAAGCAGACAGACGAGTACCTGTTCGTGATCATGACTGCTCTCACAAGTTGACACTTTTGTTCTTTTGATGATGACTCTGCTCTAAGGGCCTTGCCACACCAATGTCGAACCCTCTTCGCCACACAGCATGTCTAAGTCCTATGCACAAAAGAGACAAACTGGGGTGAAGATAGGACAAGCGTTGGTCCGTTCTCCTTTTCGACATTCGGGCAAGAACTCGACATCCCATCCGAGGACTGTTGAAAATGTCCAAGTTGCAGGCTGGGAAATGAGCCCTTCTCGAGAGGAGGTGTCGAAACCCTGTCCTGACAGCTCCTGAATTGTTTTCGCATCTCGGATTTCGACATGCTGTGTGGCGAGGAGAAAATCTCAACAATGCAGTTTCCGACATTGGTGTGGCCTCACCACATCACCACACCAATGTCGAAACATCACGAAATTCGACATATGTCAGGAAATTTTCGACATTTCCTCTTTCGACAGAAAAACCCTCTTCGCCACACAGCATGTCGAAGTGAAGAACTCACGAGTCGTATGCACAAAAGAGACAAACTGGGGTGAAGATAGGACAAGTGCAATGGACCCAGATCGTGAAGACAGTTGTCAACAATGCAAGTCCAGATGAGTGTCAACCAGCTGATGATTATCAATAATCATATTCGTGTCCAGATACCCAGGAGAAAAGAAGACATACACAGACAAAGTAGATGAGAGGGAGAAAATACTTAGAGCGGGGAAGAAAGAAACAATGCCCACTGCTTCTTCGGGCTCCCTCCACAATCACCACCTCAATAATCAATGATCTGAACGATGAACTTCTGCAGTAACCTCAATGTGCCACGTGACACGTCTAATCGGTCCCTCATCAGCGCTGGAGTAATGTCGACATGAAGACAACCAGGTACGTATCCACGATCTCTCCACAGTCTTGATCTCCTCCTCAATGACTATAATCAGAACAGCAACACAAGTCACATGGCTTCGCCTCGTCAACCAGTAGTATGCGTGGCAGCTCTCACATCAGCCACCAGTAGTGCACGTGGCAGCAGGCTAGCAGCCACGTCAGCGACAGCGCATGGCAGCTGCCACGTCAGCATGCCAAGAAGACAGGTGCAAACCAGCCACCATGCCGGACCAGCAGCGCGTCGCCGTAGACACAATGCCAGCACAAAGCCAGCGCTCAACCAGCTTCACAGCCTCGAGCCAGAGTCATCGTCAACGCGTGAAGTCAGCATCGACGTAAGACAGAGTGAATGTCAAAGCCAGGAAAGTCAGCGCTTATGTAGAGTTGACTTGGGGTCTGGGCCCCGGATGCTACAATCCTCAGCCGTCCAGATCTCGATGCGAACTAAGGCCCAGATTGGTCTGAAACCGAATTCCCTCCGGCCTGGATGGTTGTCTGGGTACCTGCGCACAACAAGTGAGTGTATCCAACCAACGGCCTGGGTGAGGTACCTTTGACTCTACAGTTGACTTTGACCTTTGAATTTCCTGTGTCCAGCATTAGGTCACACAGCCAAACGTGACAGACTCAGGCCTGGGCGTGTCTTGGTCACACAGCCCAGCGCAGACCACCTCAGGTCTGCATTGCCTGGGGCTGAGTTCTGGGCCCCAGGCTACTTCTGAACAGGGTTACTGCACAAGCGTTGGTGCATCTCTTTTTCCACATTCGGGCAAGAATTCTGCATCCCATCCAAGGACTTTTGAAAATGTCCAGAGTTGCAGGCTGGGAAAAGAGCCCTTCTCGAGAGGAGGTGTAGAAACCCTTTCCCTGACACCTCCTGAATTTTTTTGCATGCTGTGTGGCAAGGAGAAAATGTCTAAAATGCAGTTTTCGACATTGGTGTGGCGAGGCCCTAACCCTGAGATGAGGTGGGTTGGTACCTGCGCTCTTGAGCTGAAATGTCAACTGCCCTACCTGGAACGTGTACAACTTTGCTATAACAAAAAAAAGAAGAGAAAAAAAAAGAAGTTGTCCTTCAAGTTCTCTCTCCCGAGTACCTGCTCCAGATGCAGACAGGCACAGACCAGTACGGTCGTACCTGTTCGTGACCATGACTGCTCAGTCTCCACAAGGTTGGACTTTAGTTCTTCTGATCATGACTCTGCTCTTACAAGTAGAACTTGACGTGAACTCCGTCTGTCTGCTTTTTGAACAGGTACTCTCGAGAAAGAAGGGAAAGGAGGGCCTCGCCACACCACTCTCGAAATGTGAAAACGACAAAAATCTGGCGGTTGCATCTGGCCATGTTCAAGAGCGAAAGTCATTCTCATTTCGCACATTTCGAGAGTGGTGTGGCGATGCCCAAAGTCGGCCGTTTTACCATTTTTCTCTCACAAAGTACGACTGTGCAAGAAAAAAAGGCTTTCGTTTTCACAGTTATCTCTTCTTTCCTTCTTTCTTTCTTTCTTCTTTTTTTTTTTTTCATCTATTGGTGGGGACAACCACCTATGCTTCTTCAAGGGGTAGTGGTGAAAGAGAAGGAAGAAGAGCCGGCTGTCAATTTGCTTTTAACTTTGGTTTTGCTTAGGTTGACGTCGGGTTGACGTCGGGTTAACCAGGCATTTTCGACCGTAGTCGAGGGTTCGTGGCGCGCTCGTTATACAACTGCTACTCCTTTTGCGGCAGCACTCCATCGCTCCAGACCCAGTTCTTCTTCGTCGACGATCCCCGCAGAGCCCCCCGCCTCCACCACCACACAAACTGCGATGGGTTTTTTTTTTTTTTTTTTTCCCGTACTCCTCTGCGAAGCCGTGTAGTTGCCTTTCTTTGTGGTCGATGTGAACGAGAGACATTTTCTTTTTTTGGGGGGGGCCCGAGAGGCGCTCAGCCAAAAGGTGGGAGAGGCAAGCTGTGTTCGGGAAGCGTTCCTTTTTGCCAGCAAATTAATAATGAACTAGTTTCTTTTTTTTTTTTCCCTTCCCTTCTTTATTCTCTTCTTTCTTGTTTTCCCCCCCTTAATGCCGACCCCTGTTAAGTCATTTTAAGAGTCGAACTACAGTCAAGCTGTGTGTGTGTGTGTGTGTGTGTGTGTGTGTGTGTGTGTGTGTGTTTGTGTGTGTGTGTGTGTGTGTGTGTGTGTGTGCGCGCGCGCCGCGCGCGCGTGTGTTTTGTCCTGTTCGCTATAATTAAAGCTTTAAAAAAAGCATGACTGCGCCAGACTCTTTCGTCGGACTTTTTCACCGACTCATCAGGAGGTGAGTGTGTGTTGCACAATCTTACTTTATTTTTGTGTTTGCTTTGGCGTGTGCTATGCATTTATTCTCTGTTGGCTCGCGTGCGCGGGTGTAAATATATATAGACTCGATGGACGTTCGCAAGCAATCAGGGAGCATTCATGATTTGTCCTGCCTCCTCCATCTAATGTCTATATTTCGGCGATGGGTTGCCTCTCTGCTAATCGGAGCCATGGGATCTTTCGTCCTCATGTGTATTCTTCGGACGACGTGGACAAGTGCCAGCGTTCACACGGCCACCACGAAGGAAACGTTGGTCCATGCCGCCATAGCCATACCTCCTCCCATTACTCCATCTGCTGATCTGGCGTCGGGGCACGGCCTCCTCTCAATTCCATCCAGATGGCGTGTGTTGGCAGAGCCTGCGGCTCAGCCGTCATCTCCGTCGTCGGGATCTGCAGCTTCGTCTGCCGCTCCACCTTTGCCTGGGGCGGCTTGGTCGGGTGCTCCGCCTTTGCCTGCGCCAGCTTCGTCGGCGGACGCCCCGCCCGGTTCCGACCCGACTCCGCTGCCATCTATACTCGTTCCCCGCAACAGAACTTTGTTTCCGTCAAGCCGTCCCACGCTGCGGCCCCTCCGTTCCTGCCATCGTCAACGGGCAAGCTCTTCTGCCGCTCTGCGGTCAATGACTTAGTCGTTGCTCCACAAAGTACGGCACTTTACGTCCTACTCAGGGAACTCTGTTTCACCCAGGGCCAGCTCTCTCATCTGCGCGAGTCGATCTGGAAAGCAGATCTTGCTCACGTGAGTGACGGTGGCTCAACTACCAATAGCGCTCACGCTCCTGAGGGGCAGTTAGTCAGCTACTGGTGGCCTTTCGGAGCGGTAAACGGCTCCGCTGTGCACACCCCGGCCATTCAGTACGCTGGCGCAAACGACACCGTTTCGATGGCCGACATGTCGGCGACGGATGTGACGCGAGCGGGCGATCGTCTTATCATTTTGTCGAACCCTACTGGGTAGGACAAGTACTCCAAGATTTTCGCCGTGTCCACAAACAATGGCACTAGAACTTCTACTTCCCTTCCAGTAAGCGCCGCCACCAGCCTCACGTTCAATCCGAACGGGACGCGTCTGTACGTAGCTGTTGGTGTTGCACCCGTTTCCATCATAAGCGCTACTGTGCAGGACTCTGGAGGGACAGGGATCCCGATGGACGACGTGGAGTGGACTGACGTGAGGAGATTCCCTCCAGGAGGTGATCCCGATATCAAGGACATCGGCTTCACCTCACAGAGCTTTTCCTCGGACGAACGGTGCCTCTATTTCGTGGACTACGAGAACCTTCGTGTGTGGGGACTCGATCCCCTGACCTCTGCTGGTACCGCGAATCCCCCCGTGCTCATCGCGGGGTCCGGCTCAAGAGGAGTGGTCGATGCGGACGGACTCACCTCCTCCTTCAACAACATCACGGACATGGCTGTCTCTCCCGATGGCTGCAACATCTTCGTCGTTGATTACTGGTACAATTCCCTTCGCTGGCTGCAGCTGGACTCACCCTGCTCCGCGGCTCGCAGGGTGCTGACACTGGAAAGCTTCCCAGGGGGGCCGCGAGCTGTCAGGCTCGGTCAATCTGGCAACGACTACTACCTGTACGTCGGGATGAGCGACGGCTCCGTGACTGAGATTCAAATCAATGCCTCTCAGCTGCACTCTTGCGCTCCTGCACCACCGCCATCGCCGCCGCGCTCTTACCCGAGCGCAGGGCCCCCGGCTGACTCGAACGTCCGATCGCCTGACTCCAGCCTCCCCTCGTCTGCCTTCTCTCCTAGTCCCCCGTTCCCAACAAAGCCGGGAAGAACTCGCTATCTAGCCTTAATCGTAGCTCTCCCTCTCTCTACTCTGGCAGTCCTTGGCGCGGCAGCTTGTGCAAGCTACCTCATTTTACACAAAAAGGCCCAGCCCATGACCAACTTGAGGACGAACGGCAGCGGGGAGTCCACGGTTGCAACGACTGGTTCGTCATGGGGGGTAGCTGGGGGGAAAGATGAGCTGGGGGGAGGACCCGGAGGAGAGAGACAGGAGGGGCTTCATCATTTGCAGGTGAAGCAGTTCTCATTTGCAGCTCTGTCATATTGCACGCAGAACTTCAGCGAGAGCTACCGCATCGGACCCGGCGGGGCGTTTGGAAATGTCTATTGGGGATCCTTGGATGACGGCAAGGAGTTGGCGATGAAGGTCATGACAGGCGATCTGACAGAGGGGAAAAGGAAGATGTTTCTGGCGGAAGTGAACACGCTGAGCAGAGTCCATCACGCCAACCTCATCCGACTCGTCGGATTCTGCCTCGAGGGCAATCGGTCGATCTTGGTCTATCCCTACTTTCCAGGGGGCAGCTTGTTCGCTCGTCTGCACGAGAGAGGGAAAGCCGTGCCGGGGAAAGCTTCGATGCCGCCGCTGACGCTCGTGGAGCGGATGTGCACCGCATTGCAGATCGCTAAGGGCCTAGCCTACCTTCACGAGGGTGCCGACCCTCCAGTCGTCCATCGGGACATCAAGAGCAGCAACGTGCTGCTTGGCGATGGCTCCGGGGAGAAGTTGCACGTTGTGGTGGCGGACTTCGGTCTCGCGACTATGGGAGAGAGAGTGTTCGGCACGGAGCGTGAGTCCGTGGTCAAGACCTCGCACATGGCGGGCACGTTCGGGTACATGGCGCCGGAGTATGTGAGGGGAGGAATTCTGTCAGACAAGAACGACGTGTACGCTTTCGGAGTTATCTTGCTGGAGCTGCTGACGGGCCGGAAGGCCGTGGCGATGGCACCCTCTGGGGTGGGGTGGGAGACGCTGCCGGACTGGGCTAGACCGTTTCTTCAGCGAATGGTCGTCGTTGGTAATGATACGGCATACCAAATTCTGGACGCTCGCCTGCATGATCAGGCGGCGGGATTCAGGTTCAGCCGTATGGTTAGCGGAACGCTGCTTTTGGCAAGCGAGTGCATACGAGAGGACTATCGAACGAGGCCAAGCATGTGTGGATTGGTGGAGAAGATAGGCAATCTCCTCAATGAAGTGCAGATCGACGTCAGGCAAGCGAAGCGCTGATCCCCGAGAGAGAAATCATCATGGAGCTGATAGCTGGCGAAGAATCGATCCCAGGATTGGTGGAGAAAGATAGGCAATATGTTGAATCAAGGGCAGATCAACGCAAGGCAAACGAGGCGCTGACGGCAGAGAAAGAGAGAACTCGTCATCAAGCCGATGACCGGTGAAGAATCAATCGCAGAACGGGCGATGGCGAAATTGCTTTCGTTAGTGGTCGGAGGGAGAGAACATTGCCGATCCAAAGCTGTACGAGATGAGCCCGCTCTTTGTCTAATGGGTGGGTTGTTTACGGCCAGCCATCCTGTATTCTTTCTCTTATTATTCTTTTCGAAAGGGGTGACGACCTTGAGACATCACTGTCAAACTGACCGGCCCCTGGTAATTCAGAATTATTGGATTAAAAAAAAAGGATAATTCGCGAAATACCCCTATAAGTTGAGTTATATGCCAAAATGGCCCTAAAAGATCTGGGTAGAGCGGAATACCCCTCTGACACCAAAAATGATTTGCGAAATGCCCCTGTCATGGTTTGGACGTGTCATCTTTGCGAAATACCCCTACCAGGTACTGTCCATGTTTGCAAAATGTCCCGGTACTTGCCAACTTTGCCCAGGCCCTACGTATTTTCGTTTTACCCCTACTGGCCCAGGTCATCTTTGCATTGTGCTCCCTCGCTGTGCGTTTGTGAGTGTGTGTGTGTGTGTGTGTGNGTGAGAGAGAGAGAGAGAGAGAGAGAGAGAGAGAGAGAGAGAGAGAGAGAGAGAGAGAGAGAGAGAGAGAGAGAGAAATCCCACGTAAGCCTCAAAGCTATGTAACCGTTTGAACGCCCTAAACGCGCGTTCGCGTTCAAATGTGCGTTTGAACGCGGATTGCGCGTTCGCGTTCAAAATTGAACGGCGTTCAATTTTTTTTTTATTTTTTTTAGTTTTTTCAAAAAATATTTTTGATACTTAAAAATATTTTTTTTTCTGATTTTTTTTTTGTGAGTTCTATATGATGTGGGCTACATGTCTGTAAATTTTGGAGTCATTTTGCCAAGGGGAAAAAAAAATGAAAAATCGCCAAAGATGGCGGTGTCAAATCATGTTCGCGCTTCATTTCAATTCTCTTTTTACTTTTTTCTATTTTCTGTTCTCTATTTTTATTTCGAATTTGATAGCGAATTTGGATGTGATTCTCAGGCAAATGTTGTTTATTTTATTTTTCTTCATAACATATTTTGTTTTCGGAATTTTTAGAGATTGTTTTTGTTTTTTTTTTCCGGCGCAGAATTGAACTCCGCGTTCGGTCGCGTCCCTGAACGCGCGTTCATTCCGTTCAGTTTCTGAACGGAAAACCCGCGTTCAATGAACGCGCGGTAACACAGCCTCAAAGTACGGGGTCTAGGCGATTGGGAAGAACAGGGTTTATTTTTCCTTTTTCTTCTTTTCTCTTTTTTTTTTTCTTCTTTTTCTTTCTTAAACAAAGTCGGAACAGAAACTTATTTTTCCTTTTCAGAACTGCCCTTGATGTCTTTCTCATGTGGCCGGTTAGTGACCGCGCCAAGAAATCCAAGAAACATTTAGGAATTAGTGTGAGTAGGAATTTTGATTTTTTTGTGCGCGCGGCTGTTTTTCAAAATTTTCCGCGCCACGTTAACCCGTTCCCCCACTTTGCATCCCCGCGCCATCTTCCATTCTTGCCGCGCATTTCCTTCATCCTTCTTGCATGCCTCTTCTTCTTCCATCGAGTAAAGTCTGATCCTCTCCTTACCCATCATCGCGAACGATTGGCTGTGTAATTGGGATGGTCCGATCAATGTGGCAAAGCGGAAGGCTCGTACCACTTGAAAGACCACCCCAATCACACAGATCATTCGACTCGCCTCCTTCGATCCTTCTGGAACCCCGGCCCTTCTTCTGCCCTGCTCATCTACACCCCAGGGCCCATGCTACCTGCACCTCGAGCTGGCTCTCCACCGCCTTCCGTGTTATAAATTCTCACAACCCGTTCCTCTCCCTCTCTTTGATCTCGGCTGCAAGCTGCGCGAGCTATGCGCAAGGTCCCCGGCGTCGAATAGGCTTGACGAGGCCCAGTGACGGGCGGAGTGACGACGTGGGGTACGCGAGTCAGGGGGACTGAATGGTGGTGGAGATCAGACGCCGACAGCGGCAGGGCCTTGTGGCTATGGTTGTCAGAGGTTGTGAGGGATTGAACGCTAGGCCCAAGGCGGCCAGGCGTGTGAGAAATGTTGTGTACTAAGGACTTTTTTTTATCTCTATTGTTGATTTGTCTTCGTGTGATGTGTGCGTGGTCCCGATGCATGGGTACTCGGTCGTATGCTGACGGTATGCATGCGGGGTGGTACGAGAGTTATGGATGAATTGAATATCTCATTATCCAGGAGGGCTTGATGAATCTGTGTGTATCTGCGCGCTTACAGGTGCGTAACCGTGCGTTGGTGGGGATTGCTGGGACTTGGTTGTCTGCATGAATGCACGAGTGTGTTGGTCCCTCCTCCCTTCCCCGATCCCTCTTTCGTTCTTAACGCCGCGTGTACACGCGGGACTTGCGTTAACCTCTTTTCTCCCTCTCTCTATCTCTTTCTCCCCCTTCGTGCGCGGATCGAGATCCAGGTGAAACGGGTGATTTCACTCGATAACCGGAGAGATCAGTCATTGGCGTCTCCGGAACGCGGCTGATATCTCCGCAACCCAACAGACCCCGAAGCCCCAACTCAGCGTTCGGGTTGACATAGAGAGAGAGAAAGAGAGTAAGGTGGGTCGTTTTTATTTGTCTTCCTTATAGTGATCTTCGCATAGACTTCACGCTCGTCCTCGCGGACGCAAGCACGAGCCCTTGTCCGTGCTCCACCTTTGTCCCGTTCCATCGCAACGTGCTACCGTCCTTCCCGATCGTAGACGACGACAAGGTGTACTGTGACGCGGACGTGCGCAGCGTTCTGAGCCGGACCGAGCACATTCCGGCTATATAACCCCGCCAAAGCCTGCCATATCGGAGGGAGTGGGTTTGTGTTGATTGATCAGTTCTCTTTTCCTCCCCTGATAATGCCCTACATCGATCTCATGGTGTTGCCCTGGTCAGCGGAACACGTAACGTGGTGGCTTTGGTTTGATTGTCGCTAGTGTCGTCAGGGGGATTCGTGTTCCTGGCGGAGAATAGTCCTGGGATACGAGGGTGCGGCTCAGTTCCCATAACTCTCCCGCAACGCGGTTGCGCTCCCAGCTAAATGTTGAACTCAGGTTCCTTCGGTTTACCTCGACCTCGACGACCCCGTGCCAGGATGTCCGCGCGGGCTCGACGAGTCTGACACCATGGCCGAGGTTTCCGAACCGACCGCCTTAAGATCCGCACGAACCAGGCGCCCTGGGCAAACGGATAACCCTATTTTTTAAAATTGTTTCCCTCTCCGTTGATGGGCGTACCGGAACGAGGTTTCTTCCCGTCCCTTGCCCTCAACGACGGCTCGAGCCCCCAATAGGGCAACTCTCGGCTCGAAAAAAAAATCCCCTGTTTCGCTCGAGTAATTCAACCCCACGGCCAAAAATTCTTGGCCACACCCCTTGCCACTCTGATCGGCGTTCGAAGTACGGAACGCCGCGGTGCCCCGCCCGGGGTGTGAGGTTGCGCAACACAGGTGCACGGGTGCGGGGGGGCGAGGGAGGAGGGGGAGGTGAGGGAGAGAGAGAGAGAGAGAGAGAGAGAGAGAGAGAGAGAGAGAGAGAGAGAGAGAGAGAGAGAGAGAGAGAGAGAGAGAGAGA